GAAGCTTGCAAAGACAGAAGAAAGGAGGTACCATCTAGGACAAAGTTTAAAAAAAAAAAAAAAAAAAAAAAAAAAAAAAAAGCCTAGCAGGCCTGTGTGTGACGAGGGAGTCTGGGAGATGGGACCCATCTTCTTCTGTCAATTTGCTGAGGCAGATGGGCCCTGCTGTGAGAGCTGCCCCCTCCTGGGAAAAAAGCCAGTAGGTTGCCTCCTCTCTCCACTGTTACATATTAAGCCTGCAACTGTTTGCGTTCAATCTCAGCTACATTCTGTTCAGCAGCTTCAGAGTTCCGAGCGCAGGTGCCCTCAGTTAATCACCCCAGCTCACTCCAGAGTCACTTCCAGCAGTGAAGGATGTTCCAGGCAGCCAGCCAGCGGCAATTTTTTTTTCTTTAAATCTGCACCATTCTGATCCCTGAAGACTAGTTTAAAAAGTTTATTTTTTGTCTAAAATGCTTTCTTCAAACAAGAAGATAACAAATCTAGGACTTCAGTTTAGAAAAACAGACTTAATAAAAAAAAAAAAAAAAAAGGAGAAACAATGTCCTACAGGTTCAGATGGAAGTAGAGATGAACAAAAGACTCTAAACACTTTCAGGAAAGACATCTTCTGAAAGGCGTTGAAGATTTCATTATCATCCTGGATAAGAAAACCAACATCACATTCATTTTGAAAAAAACTATTTATTTTTTCCACATCCTATTCCAAAGACGTATCTTACAGATAAGAGTTAGTATGAGTCAGAAGACATCCTAGGGAAGGAAGCCATTTGGACACTGGAAAAATGCTAACCAAAAAGCCAACATTCACATACACGTGTCTGCTTCACAGGAAAAGCTCACCACCCAAAGTGCAAAGACAGAAGCAACTAGTTTTGCCATATGAAAATGTTGACAGTCTTCCAAATTGTTAGCTGACTGAACACTGACTTTTAAAATAAAACAAGAGGTCAGTCACCAGAATGAGTTTAGCTTTAGATCAATCTGGCTCTGACCCCAATCAACTCCAGAAGCCCAGCCAGAGGCCGGCTAGAGACTGAGGTGCAGTATCGCAGGCTGCGGCCCTTTCTACAACGCAGACCTAATCAACCCAAATGAAAGTGGAGAACATTCAAGTCAGAGCCTCAGGCCACCCCACTGAGGGCTCCCTGCCACAGCTCAGGAGGACAGGGACTGGGCTCTGTCCAGCTCTGTCCTACCCTGCAGTCTCTTGCTGTGAGACACAACTGTTTTACCCAAGAGGTCAGCTTTCTGTCACTGTCTAAGTGACACCAAAGGAAAGTCATTTTATGAGCGGTATTTGGCTTTAAGCCAAAGGGATGGATACCCCCCTCCCCCCAAAGAGTCCCAACCAATACCTATTACCCTTCCACCCTGGTAACTAACACAGGTGCTGCTAAGTCACCGAGTGAGAGGAGCTGTATAATGATAAACTCACGCACAGTCAACTTTATTTAAAGCCTGGAGAAGGCTAAAGCACTGACCACACAGGAGGCTGAAGAACGACAGTGTCCTGGGTCAGTAAACACTGGACACTACAGAAACGGCTTCACTTGAGGTACGGAGCAGGGAAAAATTTGCCTTGTTGACCTAAGTTGGTGGCAGACTTGCTTTTGTTCCCAAATCTAAAAACAAAAAACAAAACAAAACAAATTAGAGAGACTGAATCAGAAGTATTCTACAGGGGCTGGTGAGATGATGCCATGAGGAAGGCAGGCTCTGTATAAACACGGAGACTTGAGTTCCATTCCTGGAGCCCATATAAAGGTGGAAGAGAACCACCAACTCCACGGAGTTGCCCTCCACATGGGTGCCATGGTACACACACCCACACACATATCATGCACATGCACACGAATACATATTTTTTTAAAGAAGTATTCTGTAAAAAATATTGAGTAAACAATTATAGTGTTACTTGATATAAAGAAGTGAATATAGGAAACTTCCAGAGAGCTATTTAAAGGTGTTATTGATTGGGCTGGAGAGATGGCTCAGTGGTTAAGAGCACTGGCTGTTCTTCCAGAGGTCCTGAGTTCAAGTCCCAGCAACCACATGGTTCACAACCATCTGTAATGAGATCTGGCGCCTTCTTCTGGCATGCATGCAGAACACTGTATACATAATAAATAAATAAATCTTAAAAAAAAAAAAAAAAGGTGCTATTGATCACCCAATATGACGGATCACAGTGGAGCGCTTCACCAGCCTCTGTAGAAGTTTCCTTTAACGTCTAGTTACTTCTAGTTCAATTATTCCTTTTACTTTTTTAGATAAGGCCTCACTATACAGCCCTGGCTGGTCCTGGACTCATGGCAATTCTCCTGTGTCAGCCTCCTAAATGCTAGGATTGTTGAGACTGCAGGCATATATATCACTGTGTCTAGCTTCAATAAACTACTGCTCCAAAACCTAAAGGCCTGAGTTCAGTTCCGAGGAACCACACACCAGGAGAGAGTTGATTCCTACAGGGTGTGCTCAACCTCGGTAAGCTGCTGTGGCTCACACATGAGAGGACAGACGGATGGACAGACAGATGGATGGACAGATGGACGGACACACACACGGACGGACGGATGGACGGACGGACACACACACACACACACACACACACACACACACACACACACTTCTGCATACCTGGGAGTGCTCTTGGAGAGGTTATACAATCTCTGTGACAGAGAACTTGATAAAGGAGTCTTGACAAGTTGGAATTCAGGAGTGGTCACCGGCCCCAGCAAGCTCACTTAATTTTAAGAGAATGGGGGAAAGAAAATGTCTGTCATGATGGACGTTCACGCGACTACCTTCTAAAGGTTGGACCTCTAGCAGGTTCACAGGCCACTTCAGCCCTTGTTTTGTAACTCCTGAATCTTTCGAACTACGCAGGCAAATACTCAATGAACAGCTGACATCTACTTGATTCAGAACATTTTCAAGCACCAAACTTCATACATCTAATATCTGAACATTTGACTTTTAGCGATATTAGAAGAAACAAGACACTTTCCTTAAAAAGAAACTGAATATGTCTGTGTGGTGGGAATAAATGATTCTACTCACATGAAATTGCCATAAACTCACATGAATTTGCATAAACGGCAAATTTTGCCATATAAGAGTCAAAGGGGAAGCCAGGGAGACGGCCCCTGAGCAAAGGCACTTGCCGCCAAGCCTGATGATCTGGGTTCAATCCTTGGGACTCACAGAGTGAGAGGAAAGAACCAATTCCCTCAAGTTGTCCTCTGACCTCCACAAATGTACCATGGCATATGCACCCACAGACATAAAATAAAATGTACTAACAATTTTCAAAAAATAAAACTGATCAGTAAAACATACCAACAAACCTAAAATGGGAATTAACCCTTAGAGTATATTCACTATGCTGGGTGAAGTACTATTGGTAACTATGAAACTGCTGAAATTTTCAAGATAACTATAAGGGTTGGTGGGGGTTGAGAAAGGGGTCTTGTATAGCCCAGAATGGCCCTGAACTCAGGACGTAGCAGAGGATGACCTTGAACTCTGTCCTTCTGCCTTCACTTCCCAAGTGCTCACCACCACACCTAGCCCCATACATCGCAAACCGCTAGAGCAAACTAAGGGAAAGGCCCACGGCCAAGCCCCTGAGAAGCAAGCACGGTGCAGAACTGACCTTTAAGGTCTGGTGTCCGCGGGGTTGAGTTTCCATTGCCACGCTGGACGTCAATGTTCTCCTGTTCCACCATCATGAACTGATTCCAGTACTCCAGGGGCAGAGAAAGCAGGCGCTCCACCACCTAGCAGGCACCAGAGTCAAGGCTGACTTCAGAAATTCCTTCTTACTGTGTTTGAGACCTTCTTACTCGGCAACCTAGGCCGGCCTACAGCTTGAAATGTAGACCAGGCTGGCCTCAAACTTGTGGCAATCCTCCTGGCACCGCCTGCCAGTGCATGTGCCCAGCATGCAAGGCTTATTTTTTTGTCATTATGTCATGTTAGGGCATTGCAAAAGCTCGTATTTTATGTATCTCTGCGTGTGTGTGTGTGTGTGTGTGTGTACATGCACTTGCACCCCTACCTTGAGCTGACGCTTGATGTCCTGGAACATCGTCACTGGGTCTGGATTAGGCACAGTATGGGCAACTATGGTAGGGCCAAAGACTTTAGCTAGATTGGCAATGTCCATCTTAGTGTTCGGACTCTGAGCCACTCTAAACAAAGGAGTATAATGTTAAAACAAACATATTATTCCCTTAATCATAAACTAAATATAAATTCTGCAGGACAACATTCCCAGTCCACGTTTCCCAGAACCCACATCATCTCCTAGGGAAACCCTTTAGCTCCCAAGACAAGCCCTGCTGTGCTGACCTCTGCAAGTGGATCATGAGGAAGGCCAGCGTGTCCCTGTTGGCCTGGGGCAGCTCGCCCACAGCCTGGTACATGGCGGCTGTGCTGTTGTCCTCGTCCGCTATCTCTGTAATGACAAGAACACACTGAGAGGCCGACTCTTCCTTCCCCTGACAGCGCCTTCCAGGTTATCGACCACAGGCTCATCTATACACTGAGCTTCTGAAACTTCTGAGGAGGTTCATGACAGCATCGGACTCTAGTTTCATTACCAAGCGGGACACTGGCCAACAGTTCAATATGAGAAGTCAGAACTTCCTAAAACTCACCACTGCTGTTAGAGGAAGCAGCTGGCGAGCCATTTGCTGGGAAGACACACCACCGCAGTGCGGACTATCCACAAGGAACTCAGTCGCCTGACATGTAAGGGCCTACCAGACACCAGGTACCATTTTAAACGCGGGGCTAAAGCAAAACAACACAGGCCTTGTCTCCTGGAATGAACACTCTGTCGGAAGAGTGGTCAACAAACAACAACAAACCACGGGCCAGACATGAGATGGAGGAGACAGGCAGGCGGGATGCTGGAAAGCAACGGGAGCCGCTACGTCGTCACACAAGGTGGCAGCTTTTGCTTAGTTTTTGAAACTGGGTCTCAGGTAGCCTAGTCTACTCAAACTCGCCACGCAGCCAAAGCTGGTCTCAATCCTGCCTCTCCTCCCACACCTGGGATCACTGTCATCATCCTGGCTTAGGAAAGGTGTTTCTGAAGAGAGGAATTGGGGGGGGAGGTTGTAAAGGAGCAAACTACAAAGAGATCTAGGGTAAACAGTTGGGGCTAAGACTATAACAAATATGAGGTGGGTGTGTGCTAAGAAACCCAAGGCTTGGGGCTGGAGAGATGGCTCGGTGGCTGAGCACTGGCTGCTCTTGCAGAGAACCTGGGTTCAGTTCCCAGCACCCACATGGTAGCTCCCAACTGTCACCCCAGGTCCAGGGGTTCCGACACCCTCTTGAGGCCTCCGTAGGCACTGTGTACATGTGGTGCACAGACACACAGGCAAACACCTACAGACATGAAAGATAAAATAAAAAGGACCCAAGACTCCAGGTTTGAAAAGAGGACGGAAGGTATAAAGCAAAGCGGCGTGGAGGCATAACCAGGAGCTAAGTCACAGAGAGTCTTTTCAATCGTGTTAAGGAGGAGTTCAGTCTAAAACTGATGGGGAAGCTGGGCATGGTGACTCACGCCTTTAATCCCAGCACTCAGGAGGCAGAGGCAGGTGGATCTCTGTGAGTTCGAGGCCAGCCTGGTCTACAGAGTGAGTTCTAGGACAGCCAGGACTACACAGAGAAACCCTGACTTGAAAAACCAAACAAATAGGATAAAATAAAATAAAAATGATGGATCGATGACAAAAGGGACATCAACTACCTTCGAGTGTAAGAGGAGCACTCCAGCTCCTGTATAGGGTTATCATGTGACAGGCCCATGCCAGCTCCCGTATAAAGACTATCTTGTAGAGGACACAAGCAGGTACAGGACAATCTGTTAGCAGGTTCCCAGCATATTCCAGAGACAGTTGTGATAAATATCAAATTTAAGGTGTATTTACAAGGCTAGACAAGATTTGCTGTGGTAAAGAAAGGCATCAAAGATGGTTCTGATTCAAAAGGACAACCTAAAACTTGACCAAACAACAAACCTCGTTAAGTCCTATTTAGTTTAATTCTTCCCTTAGTTTACGGACATGGGTGCTTTGCCTACACGGCAAAGTCTGACCCAACCGTCATGTGGATGCTGAGATCAAAGCCAGGTTCTCTAGAAGAGCAGCCAGTGCTCAGCCACTGAGCCATCTCTTGGCCCCTCTATACAGCGAAGGGAAGAACAAGGCGTGAGGAGCGGTGTGTCCAGTTACTCACCCACCAACTACGTGAGTACCCACTACACTTCAGACACTGTATCGGGCACAGCAAAGTAGTAAAATGTGAACCAAGTTCAAGTCTGGAATCACAGTCAAGTATTAAGTTCTGCCCTTACCCGCTGCCTCCATAAAAGCTTTGCTTAGCCAACAGGTCAGAAGGGGTTCTTTGAGGTTTCGAAGGAAGTCTTTGAGGAGGCTACAGATGGCATGGATATCGTCCACTTTGCTGAGGAGAGGCACAGTTTTGACTTTGAGGAATTTCTCCTTCAGCTCCTTTACTGTCCGGTCACAGCCTGAGATCCTGTACAAGCCTGCCTGTTATGAAGACAACAGTCAGGAACTCCCCAACCACTAACACAAACAACAAGCTCACCTGCTGGAGTCCACGCTTACCTCAGTCAGGCCTCGCTGCTCAATCTCATTCACACAGCTGACAACAATAGCAGGGATCATTGGTGAAGTCTGGGACACAAAATCTGCCAACATTCCCTGGGGAAAAAGGATCTTTATTATTTACACCACTGAGACCAAGAGAGGAAGACCGCGTGCAAAGAGTTGCCATTAAACACAAGGAAATTATATCAGCTTTTGATATCATTTCTATTCTCAAAATACATGTTAAAACAGTCTTGGGGCTGTCTTAGTTAGGATTTCTATTGCTGTGAAGAGACACCATGACCACAGCAACTCTTACAAAGGAAAACAGTTAATTGAAATGGTGGGTTACAGTTTCAGAGGTTCTGTCCGTTATCATCATGGTGCGGAGCATGGCAGCGTGCAGACAGACATGGTGCTGGCTGCAGCTTGATATGCAGGCAGCAGGAAGCGGTCTGTCTCACTGGGTGTGTCTTGAGCACATATGAGACCTCAAAGCCCACCTCCACAGTGACACACTTCCTCCAACAAGGCCACACCTAACAGTGCCCTGCCCTTTGGGGGCATTTCCTTTCAAACCACCACAGGGGCTGAGAGATGGCTCAGCAGTAAGAACAGGCACTGTCTTCCAGAGGACCTGAGTTCACTCCCCAGCTCCCCCACACCAGGTGGCACACAACCACTCATAGCTCCAGCTCCAGGACAATCTGACATCTCTGGCCCCCAGAGGTATCTGAACTCATGTGCACATATCCCAACCCATACATAGTTTAAATAATAATGAAATCAATAAAATCTTGTAAGGATGAAGTGTGGCTTGGTTAGTCGAGTGCAGGCCTGGCATGCATGAGGCCTTGGTTCTGGTCCCTACCGATTCATACACATTGGACGTGGTGGCTCCCGCCTGTTATCCCCGCACTCTAGAGACAGGAGCAGGAGGACCAGAGTTTCAAGGTCATCCTAAGCTACATAGTAAGTCTGAGGCCATTCTCAGCTACAAGAGATCCTGTCTCAAAAAAAAAAGAGTCTTGGTCACTTTTCCCACCCTTACGCTGTTATTGATTTATACAAACTGCACTTTCTCATGAGCAAGTAATAACGCCACCAACTATAAGTACTTCCTTTTCAGGGCTGGAAAGATGGCTCAGAGGTTAAGAGCACTGGCTGCTCTTCCAGGGGTCCTGAGTTCAATTCCCAGCAACCACATGGTGGCTCACAACCATCTATAATGAGATCTGGTGCCCTCTTCTGTCATGAAGGCATACATGCAGGCAGAACACTGTGTACATAATAAATCTTAAAAAAAAAAAAAAGAAAAAAAAAAGAAAAAGTACTTCCTTTTCTTTTACTTAAAGACAAGAGAAAGCAAGCAATGAAGACATTATAGCCATAGGCTGGGTGTGGTGGCAGAGACTCTAATCCAGCAGAGGTAGGCAGATCTGAGTTCCAGGCCAGAATGGTCTATAAAAGTGAGTTCCAGGACAGTCAGGTCTACACAGAGAAACCCTGTCTAGAAAAACCAAAAGTGCACTGATATGAATTCTTCAAATACTTTTTAGATTTATTTTATGTGTATTTTGCCTTCATGCAAGTATGTGCACCATGTGCATGCAGTACGCTCAAAGGCCAGAAGAGGGAACTGGATTGCCCTGAAACTAGAATTACAGACAATTCTTGTGGGTGCCATGTGGGTGCCAGGAATCCAATCTGAGTCCTCTGGAAGATCAGCCTGTGTTCTTAACCACTGAGTCATCTATCTCTCCAGCCCCCTGATAAGAACAACATTTACTAAGAAAAACTTGGGCTTAGGCCCTATGCATTCATAACAAAGTGACAGAGCCATGTTTAGTCACAGAAACCTGCGTTTGTTAGTAACTGAGCAAGGCAGGCACACTTGATACAGGGCAAACTCCTGTATCAGTTAGATGCACATTAAAGTCCCCTTTTACATTAAAGTCCCCTTTTCTTTACTCCTGTATCAGTTAGATGCACATTCAAGTCCCCTTTCTTTACTCCTGTATCAGTTAGATGCACATTCAAGTCCCCTTTTCTTTACTCCTGTATCAGTTAGATGCACATTCAAGTCCCCTTTTCTTTTATTTTCAGCTAAACCTTTACAGTGCAAACCAAGCATGTCCAGAGGCATTTCCATCACTTTAATGCCCGCCCCCCAATTAGTTTTATTGTTTTTAATTATGTGTATGTATGCATGTATCTGTGTGTAGGTATGCCAGAGGCACCAGAGCCTCTGAAACCGGAGCATAGGCAGTTGTGAGCTCTTAATCATGCTTTAATCTTTTACATAAGTGCATCATAACTTTGAACAAAGCACACCCCAAAAATGTGTTTTCTTTCCTTTCCTTTCTCCTTAAGCGGAACATGCTCAGGAATGTACTTAACTCAGGATGCTTTCTGGATGAGCTGACCCCAAGGTAAATATGTATCGACTCCCTAAAGAGAACCTCCATTTTCCTCTGTTCAGAGAAAACCTGACCCCAGTGTTGGCCTGGCCTGCTACAGGTAACGAGTCTCTTCCCTCTCCTATCTTGGCTGGGCCGACATTAGCTTTATACTCACTGCATCCAGTTCCATGTCAACATCTAAAGCCAGACAGAGAAGTTGGTGGTTACCTTACGTGAGGTGAGGACAGAATTTGACTATGGTCTCAAAAACTACTGTCTGAGAATTACATGCAGGGGAAAAAATCAGCCTGGGAAACTTCTAAAGAGGAGAAGATGATAGGCTTACATTTGGAATGAGCACAGACAGGACTTCCAGAGTTAACATGGATAATACACAAATTGTACCTTGGCAGGGAACAGGTTTGACCCTGGGCCAGTCTCAAATAGTCTTTCTAGTGTTAAGGAATTTCATAGTGGGGCTGGAGATGGCTGAAGTTCAATTCCCAGCACATATGTCACACGGCTCACAACTGCCTGTAACTCTAGCTGGAGAGGCTTCAGTACTCAAGATACAACCAAACATATACATAATAATATAATAGATCTTTAAAAATAATCCTGTAGTAGCCGGGCGGTGGTGGCGCACGCCTTTAATCCCAGCACTCGGGAGGCAGAGGCAGTCGGATCTCTGTGAGTTCGAGGCCAGCCTGGGCTACCAAGTGAGTTCCAGAAAAGGCACAAAGCTACACAGAGAAACCCTGTCTCGAAAAACCAAAAAAAAAAAAAATAATAATAATAATAATTCTGTAGCACATATGTTAATATGTTACAGTTAAAAACATACAAGTCACACATGTGCTGCCTAACATCTATGCTAACAATAAGTGTCCTGATGCTAAAACTCTGCAAGGACGCTTTCACCAAAACTGTGGTTTGGGGGCTGGAGAGGTGGCTCAGTGGTTAAGAGCATTGACTGTTCTTCCAGAGGACCTGAGTTCAATTCCCAGCAACCACACGGCGGCTCACAACTATCTGTAACTCCAGTTCCTGGGGATCTGACACCCTCACACAGACACACATGCAGGCAAAACATAAATGGATATAAAAAAAAACAAAAAAACTGTGGTTTGTCATTGTTGGTCAACTGACACAGAACAAGACTCTTTCAGTTTGTAGACTGGACCTAAATAAACTGATAATTTTTCAAAAATAAAACAAGCCAAGCAGACTGGCGCACGCCTTTGATCCCAGCACTCTGGAGGCAGAGACAGACAGGTCTCTGAATTCAAGACTAACCTGGTCTACAGAGGAGTTCCAGGACAGTCAGGGCTACACAGAGAAACCCTGTCTGGAAAATCCGAAAGATAAAGAAAGAAAGTAAGAACTAAGGAGGAGACTGGAGAACTTACAAAACAAGAACGGCTGTGAGTCCACAATTACAGAGTAAGTGGTCGGAGCCGGGGTTAGCTATGAGAATGTCTGCTGTGCATGTGCAGTCTTCCTAGGGGAGGAGGGAGAAATGGGAGGAGGAGGAGGAGGAAAAAAGATGAAGGGAAGGGAGGAAGGAGGAGGCAAAGAGAAGGAGGAGGGAGGAAGGAGAAGGAAAGGAGGGGGGAAGAGGGACTTTATGTAGAAAGGCTATTAAACAGGGTAACCCAAACAAGATTCTGCCACAGGTCAACATTTTACCATTTCTATTCATTTTTCATGAAGGGAAGTTTTATTTGATATCAGTAATTTTAAAATAAAAACTGATTAACTATGTCTTGGAAAGACTAAAGAACAGACAAAGGATGGCTGGCTCCCATGGAGTCTTACCTCTCCAATCTTAACCGGAGTCCCCACCAGGGGAGAAATGCAGGGGAGGGGACATCGGTCCCGACACTCTGGGTGGGAGACCAAACGACAGTCTCGACACTTCAGAGACAGCTTGCCAAATTTGATCCGCTTTCCACATGGAACACAAGATTCGGGCTTAATAACCTAGAGATAAAACAGGGCAGAAGCAACAGAATGATATGAATTACTGTCAACCACATGCATTAAGCACACAGTACATACAAAACAACGTTTTAGACCATTACACATTTTAATGTAATTCTCACAACAAAAACAGGTCTTGTTTGCTTCATTTTAAGTGGATATGCTGGGCAGAGTGGCACATGCCTTAATTCCAGTACCTAGGAGACAAGGCAGGTGGATCTCTGTGAGCTCAAATCCAACCAGAGCTACAAAATGAAACCTTCTCCTCAGTTAGGGTGGGTTCTTGTGAGCCCTTCCTCCATCCATGCTGCTGGAGGGGAAAGTCATTTTCCCCTGGAGGTGTGGCCGCTGGGAAGTCGCTCGTGTTCCAGTGCATAAATCCTCACACTCATGCACATACTGGAAGCACTAATTAGACTCAGTTAGTTATTAAAAAAATAAAATTAAAAAAAGGACACGAAGTTGAGACTGGTGCACATTGAGGGTAGACCAGGAGTTTCGGGGGGTAGTAGAGGGGCTGAACATGATCAAAATACATTTCATGAATGTCTAAAATTCTCAAAGAATAAACAATGTCATACTGTTAAAAGGCAGCTAATAGCCATGCAGCAGTGGCGTATGCCTTTAATCCAGCACCCAGGAGGCAGAGGCAGGCAGATCTCTATGAGTTTGAGGCCAGCCTGGTCTACAGAGTGAGATCCAGGACAGCCAGAGCTACACAGAGAAACCCTGTCTCTAAAAACCAAAGAAAAAAAGGGCAGCTAATAATAAGTGTTGACATGACATAGAGAAACTGAAACTCTTCTATATCATTGATAGGAATGTAAGGGAAAAGTCTGGAAAACCCTCAGGAAATTAAGCATAGTTACTGTATGACCCAGTGATTCCACTTAGGTATACATATCCAAGAGAAATGAAAATGGCCTACATAAACGTGTGCACATACGCAACATTCTTTGTTGGGTTGTTTTTTTTTTTTTTTTTGGTTTTTCAAGACAGGGTTTCTCTGTGTAGTTTTGGTGCCTGTCCTAGAACTCACTCTGTAGCCCAGGCTGACCTTGAACTCACAGAGATCCACCTGCCTCTGCCTCCCGAGTGCTGGGATTAAAGGCGTGCGCCACCACCGCCCGGCAACATTCTTTCTAGCAGCTGAAAATGGAAAACCCTAAATGTCTATTCACTGATAAACGGATAACTATGTGGCATATGCTTTCCACGGAGTGGAACATCATTCCCCAAATAAAAAAAATGAAACACACAGGCTCCAGCATGGCTGAGTAAATGAAAGAAGCCAGACACAAAGGTACTCATGCCATATGTACATGAAATGTCTTAAACAGACAAATCCATAGACATGAGTGGTGTGGATGGTGGTAGCCTCTGGCTACTGGATGTTGATGTAGCACAGCATGGTGGGGGAAATTCTATTAGGTATAGGGTTTCATTTTTAGGTGGTGAAAATGTTCTGAAGTTGACAATGGTGACAAATATCCAATTCTATGAATATACTAAATGTCACTGGATTTAAATGGACGGATGAAGCCAGGCAATGGTGGCTCACACCTGTAATTCCAGCATGCAAGTTGCCAGTGGAGCTGGAGAGACAACTCAGTGATTATTGTTCTTGCAAAGGACACAAGTTCGATTCCCAGCACCCACACTGGGTAGCTCACAACTGCTTTTAACTCTAGCTCCAAATGAGCTGATACCCCACATTAAGGTCACCAATATCATGCAAGGTAACTTTCTGGAAATAAAAACAATGTGTAATGTCTTGATTAGGATGTGAGTCACATGAGCTATGTGTTTGGTAAATTCGATGAAAAGTACCCTTAAAAATCTGTATATTACACCTGTTAGAATGGCTACGATCAAAAACACCAATGACAGTCAATGTTGGAGAGGATGTGGAGCAAAGGGAACACTCCTCCACCCTTGGTGGGAATGTAAACT